GATTTGGGGACAATTCGAGGTGCCCACCCTTCTTCATGTCGATGTGCCTCACTTGAAACATCCTCCATGGCTAAGTCTTCCAGACTTCCGGTGGTTTTGGGATCATTTCTGATGGCTCCCAATGTCTCCCCGGGGCCAGTTGCATTCATATCAGGTGATGCAATGCTGGATTCTGCCACTTTGGGCTCTGCACTGCGTAACACGGTGGCTTCATTGCCAAGATGTTCACGAGAATAGCCAAAAACAGTCAAAGAGATCTTGGCTGGCCCTGTTTTCCGTATTTGTTTCAACTTGGGAAGTCTCAACCACTCCTCCATGGGCCCAGTAACCCTTACTTCCCCACTACCCCGATCAACAAGAATGGTCTTTCTCCAGGGATATCTTTCCATGCCTGGGCCATTTGCCAACACTCTATGACGGTCAGTGCCTCTGCAAGCAACCATGATTTTGATTTCCATTTCGGGTACCAACTGCTGAACCAAACCAGTCACCATCTCCCCTTCCCCAAAATAGTGGTTTCCAACCCTAGGGGTCTGAAACCCAACAGTCCTGAAAACAGCTTCCCAAGAAGGTGCACGGCCATACATGGATGTTTCTGGTTGCTTGTCGTAGACACGACGACGCTTTTGCAGCTGCAGTGCCTCTGATGCCATTTCGGGTTTCTCATGTTCTTCCAAACCAAGGATCATTTCTTCAATCAACAACGGGTTTTCAGGGGTCCCAGTTCGACATATCATTTTGGCCACCTGTCGTGCAAACACCCCCGTATAGGCCTTAGCATAACTTGACACATTTTCCCATTTCCCGTGGATTTTGGTCTTCCCCTTTATGTGGTCATGTGCATGTTCCCCTTTACAAACCCTTTGATGTAACCCTTCAAACATCTTCCGGCTTGTGGTATGCACGCATGTCTTCTTTTGAAGGTATTTCTCATGATTTGGAAGTCTGAGTTTACCGACCTGGCACATATCAAACGTGGCTTGCAATGTTCCCATTTTTGTGTCACTTAAGTCAGGTTGATCTATCATCTCCGAACCATGAGGCTGTTCCAAATGGAAATGACGATTTAAACCAACTTGGTGAAGATAGAGGTCATTGCACAATTGTAGATGGCATCGTTCCTGTTGTCTTTCAAACTGAATTTTCTCAAACATGGATGTCCCTCTTCCCATATTAAACCGAGAGAACATTCCCCACAATCGACAATCGGGTGCTACCCAAATATGGCGTGGTTCATACAACATGATCCATGTCCATAACTTTTGAACCCCATCAGCTGTGGTAAGATCCCCATCCGTCCTACTAAAACGTATGGCACATCCTCCCATGGCATTTACTTGATTTGACAGTTGAGAATTGGGTTCACAATAGACTTCCAACAAATCAACCGGTGGTCTATGGGAACTGAAATGCTGCCTGCTCTTCACCCCTGTTTCGGTCTTTCTAGTCCCCTTTTTCCGATCATTCTCCCAAACATGTAAGATCTGTTCAATCTCCATGGTCCTCTGTTTGATTGCTTCATGGATTTTTAATTCCTCTTGGGGTTTCAGACCTTTCAGGGGTCCATCATTCATGATATGGGCAACTACGCGATCCAGTGGATTCAGGCCGTTTCGGCCGTCTCCTTGGATTGGCCACTGGAGCTGGACCTTTCGGTCTCCCGGGCAAGCTCGCGTTGGAGCACAGCGATCTTGGTCTGTAGAACTGTGATCTTGTCCTGGTTCGTCTCGATATTCATCTCTGACTTCTCCTCGCTGGCTGATCGTTTGAGCTCTCCCTTCTTGCTTGTTCCCACTTCCGCCGGTGTCCGTGGACAATGGACTGCTGTCCACTCCTTGTTGATCTCTGGTGTCGCCTTCGGTTGAATCGGCATCTGCTGTTGTCTCTCGACCTGCAGATTGCGATTGATGATCTCGTTGCGAGCCCTGGCATACATCTGGAAATTGCGAACCCAGGCTGACACTCCTCGTCTGTTCCTCAGTTGAAAAACATAGTTGGGATCCTGCTCGAAGATCTCCTGGAATGTCTTGCCCGAGTGCTTTCCCGAAGGGGCATGTATCTTGCCCCATTCCTCCAGTGTTGTTACACCTGGAGGTTTCATGATCTCTCCATCCTGATTGTGAATCTCCTTGAACTCGAGAGAGTCGTCCACCGGGAGTTGCAGTTCCGTGGTCAGATATGGCTGACTCTTTTTCCCTGCCATGGGTCACAGTTGAATCGAATTGAATGGTCTTCTGATCACTTTGATCCAAATCTACAGGAAATGATGGTTCCTCACATGTCAGAACCCTGCTCTGGGTATGTTGACCGGGATCAGTTTGGGAATCTTGAAACCTGACACTTTGAACATGACCTGTTCTCATGGACCCTACCTGGCATGTTTTCCCTTGCTGGAAATGTTCATTATCCTTTGGTGGATCTGAGGTTACTTCCGGACTTTCCTGTTTTATCCCTTCCGTTTGCATGATGGTCTCTTCTGGGGTTCCTACATTTTGGGATGGTGGTGATTTCATCAAAAGTTCAACCACTTTGACTCCTAAGAGATTCTTACGACATGGATGGAGTGTGATTTCATGGTCATGACCTTTGAACCTGAGCCTTTTCCCGTCTACATCTACAATCCCCTTGAGTCCCTTAAGGATTGAATTGCTGATTAAGAACGGAGTTTGACCCGGCACCACCTCAACACGGATCCAGCCGTTTTGACTTCGAGGAAGCAAAAGTGCATACTGACTGGTCAACTTGGCTGAGTTCCCAAATTTGAAGGTAACACCAGAGGTCTGGGCCCGGTAAACCAACTTCCTCAAATGGGGGGGTAATGACTGAATCATGCCCTGAACACGGTTCTCCCCAATCACGGCCCGACTTGCCCCTGTATCAATTATGGCTTCACCATCTGCTTCCTCGGAATTAAAAAGGCAGGATGCCTCAGAAAAACGGAGTTTTGAATCTAACTCCGCACCGAGACCTGCATCTGTACTGGCTGATCCGTCAAGGTCAGGCACTGCGGCTGCTTCATCGCGCACTGGAGAAAAGTGCTTCCTACAGCATCGGTGCAAATTGGCTGCGAGTTGATTTGAAAAGTTGGGAACCGTTGCAACATAACATTCAGCTTCTAATGAGCAGTTTCTTGAATTTTCAAATGTGGGAAATTTGATTGGCAAAACTTGGGAACATGGTGAGGATTCAAAATCGAAATTGATGTTTCCTTGAAAGTTCAAATTGGAAGTTGTGTGAAACGATTGACCTACATACTTCGATTCCGCCTGGGCCTCCCCGTCCTGGTCAAAAAGCTCGGCATCCTCGGGCAAAGTCGTCAAGACATCCTGCATGGCGGTGGCATCCTCCGTGGCTTCATCAATCGAGACCCCCGTGAAGGCCGTCTTGTCCTTTGGAGCCTCAGAATTGTTCAAAGGGCATTCACGACGCCAATGGCCTGGTTGACCACAGCGCCTGCACGTGGAGTTTGCGATTCTTTCCGCCAAGCTTCTTCTCTTGACATTGATCGCCATGGAAGAGCCATATGATCCACCTCCATAGCCCTTTCCCTTTTTTCCACGCCCTTTTCCTTTGTTTCCAGACTTCAAAGGCCAATAGCCTCTGGTTCTCGCCTTTTCACGAAGCCGGTCACGAGCTTCTTGATATGCCGTGAAGCATGACGACAATTCTTGACTGTCTTGGCAAGTCAAGATCACCTGCTCTTCAAAGTCCTGAATGAAGCTGGCATCCTCGTCACCCTCATCCAGCATAGCTTGAAGAATGATTTCCTCGTCAGCTTCTGGTTCTGTCATTGCATAGTTGGCCACTTCTTCATTTTCCTCCATGTGATGGATGTCATAGGTTCTTTGACGATTGCCACCTTTTCCAGTCCCTTGCAAGTCCTGGAAGAACTTGGACCCAAGCAGATGCTTCTTCGAGCATCCTCGTATTTGAGGCGACCACCACCTTCCATGATGATCTTCTTCCTGTCCTCTGAGCTCAAAGTGCTTTGTCTCACAAGCACATAAGCTCGAAATTCATCGATTTGCACCTTCTTGGTCACCAGGTCCTCGAAGGAGATGTCATGTCTGTTGAGATAGCTATCATTGGTCTCATCAACCTTCTGTATAGTTCCATAAAGGGCTCGCTCGAAGAGATCATATCGATCCTCCTCTTCGAGTCGGCCCCATTGGCCACCTAAGGCCTCCACCAAGTAGCGCACCCCATCGTGCGTCCTCAGCTTCTCCGTCGACAGTCGAGCGACCTTTTGAAAGGCAACTCCATCCACCTGCAAGGCAGCTCTGGGGGCCAGATGAGCTATGTGCTCTTCTGGCCATAGATCTCGTATGAATTCCAACTTCCTGGCATAGTTCCTCAGATCTGTCACCCCTGGTTCAAACCGAGGTATCTGATGCCAAGGAAGGGAAGAGGACGGCAACGAATTTCCCCCGGATCCCGCTGCTTCCGCGGTAGCAGCTTCATTTGCCATGGCTCAGCACTGTCCTACAGGCTGTGAGTTTTGTTGTTTGTGGAACCCTGTCTCACTAGTTACCGCGGCAGCCCTAGGGCTCCGCTACCAATGTGAATTCAATCTCAAATCTTGGGAGACCCTGTCTACCCTACCACAAGCCCTGCCTGTTTTGTCCTTGACGCATGTGTCCGCTCCCTCCCACCGCTGTTGGTGGAGATATGTAGCGGTCAGTTCGGACGAAGGCGAATGGAATGCATGTGATCACATGTCAACTGGACCTTTCACAATATACATATACATATATATGTACATATACATCTGTATATATATACATATATATATATATACATATATATATACATATATACATATATATATACATATATACATATATACACATATACATATATACATATATATATACATATATATATATACATATATATATATATATACATATATATATATATTCACCTCATTCATTCCAATATTGTCCACTCCTTTGCTACGGCTTGTGTTACGCAAGTACATCTTTTGTACAATTGTGGTCCTCCACGCGCATGCCCTGAACACCATCACCACGTCGGAACTCACTCTTCAGCTCCGGCGGCACCTGCGCAGCAAAACAGCCACATGACAAATATGGATTTGCGCAGCAAAATCATGTTCCCGAAATGTGGATATTGATGATCTGGCAATATCTAATACAACTTGAGACGACTTGGCAGCATCTTCAAAGCCAACATTACGATAGTTGAACGGTTCTGTCGATTTACCAACTCGTGCTTTTGGCACCTCCAGCAAAGCACGTTCAGGACCTCCTATGTCTACCTCAGCCATCCAAGGCAAGTCATCCTTGAGGCCTGGATCACTAGGCACTGAGTTGCAGCAAAGTCGCCCAGACGCCCTTGTTGTTGATGGTAACAACTACACCATCTACAAGGTCGCCCACTGCCAGGGACAAGTCCTTTCAAACAATCAAGCATTCTGAACGTTGTGAACCACTTTGAACATAGACTTTTGACCTAGTCCCTACTCTGGGCCAGAAACTTGTTTAGCATCATGGTTTGAGAACCTTCACTTGCTGAATAGACGTGAAATGTTCCGCTCTGCTCGGCGCAGACTTGTCATGCCATGTCCATTTGTCCCATCCATGAACTTGGACATTTGCACCATGTGTTCGGCGGATCCGGTGGCTCAGTCCTTCTTGGGCTCTTCCACCTGGCTTTCGCCATTTGTCGAAGAATAGCGCAACGTCATAAGGTCACACTGCGCATTGTGTCCAGTTTCAGGGAAGTATCCTACCAGTCCTGCGAGCCCGGTACCATATCCTGTTTCAGCCCATGCTTGGGATCACTTGGGAGCTTGGGACATGCTTTCTGGCCTTGGGAGCTTTACTCCGAGCCTTGGGAGCACGCCTTTCAGACCTCGGCCAAACTCAGTGAATTTTCTCCATGTTAGCGCCTTCGAATCGTTGTTGGAACTGTTCGCCCCTTTGTTGTTGGCATGATGACAGTATGTCACGGTCAAACTTGTTACTTAAGTTTCCAGCAAAGTTGGGCAAGAACTGAGCTGTTGACGCAGGCTGTGCTTTGGTTTCCGTCTCAACCTGGCTATCTGGCTGCTTGACCCTTTACTCTTAAATTGAAAGCGACTGGCAGAGCTAAGATTTTATGGTATCCAAAGGCTTCTAAAACTTAGAAAAAATAAAACAAAAATTCAGTACAGTATGGAGACTTCAACTGCTGCTGAGCCTTCGCCTCCTTTTTTTCACTACCGGGTTCAATGTCCATTGTCAGCGTCTGGAGAGACACCATCTCTGGGTCCTTGGCAGTCAGAATTCTCTGATATAATTATAGTGCTTTCTGGTTATTTAATGAAATTTAACATAGCTATGGAAAACCACCAGTTTGAGTAGGTAAATCATCTACAAATGTGCCATTTTCAATAGCTATGTTATATAAATTGCCAGAGGGTGCACCACTCCGGCTTTTGGCTTCAAAGTGGGTTGACACTCCGGGATACCAACGGCAATTGCAGATTCCAGATCCTCGAGGATCAGACGGACCTTGTACTGTCATCCCAGTGAGAGATTAATGTCAGAGGTCTGCATGTTGATAGAATGTTGCATCAAGTGGGTAAGGTTTTAGTCAAATACGCTGGTTCGATGGTGGTTACAACACGCCACAACTCATAGGGATCCGAACCCGCTTGTTCTCCACATCCACGGTGGCAATGCAAAGATCTCGCAAGACCTGCCACTCATGCCCCTTCCAAGGACATTGACGGCTTGTTAGGAAAAAACAAGATGCAGCCCAAGAACCCGAGTGCAGTCACCTAGAACACTTTTGCGAAACAAAATGTTTGAACAGTCTACATGTTTCCCCTGTTACCGTACCAGCGCACTGTAGACTCTGGAATGCGAAAGAGGGTGGAGTGCAAAGTAAGGAGCGTGGAGTGTAGAGTGTAAAGTGTAGAGTGTAAAGTGTAGAGTGTGGAGTGTGGAGTTTAAAGTGTAAAGTGTAGTGTGGGGAGTGTGGAGTTTAAAGTGTAGAGTGTGGAGTGTAAATTGTAAAGTGTGAAGTGTAGAGTGTGAGTGTAAAGTGTAAAGTGTGGAGTGTGGAGTGTGGAGTGTGGAGTGTACAGTGCAGAGTGTGAAGTGTGAAGTGTGGAGTGTGGAGTGTAGAGTGTGGAGTGTGGAGTGTGGAGTGTGGAGTGTAGAGTGTGGAGTGTAGAGTGTAAAGTGTAGAGTGTGGAGTGTAAAGTGTCGAGTGTGGAGTGTACAGTGTACAGTGCACAGTGTACAGTGCAGAGTGCAGACTGTGGAGTGTGAAGTGCGAAGTGTGGAGTGTAAAGTGTAAAGTGTTGAGTGTGGAGTGTAAAGTGTGGAGTGTGGAGTGTGAAGTGTGGAATGTGGAGTGTACAGTGTGGAGTGTGGAGTGTAGAGTGTGGAGTGCAAAGTGTAGAGTGTAGAGTGGAAAGTGTAGTGTAAACTGTGGAATGTCAAGTGTGGAGTGTGAAGTGTAAAGGGTGGAGTGCAGAGCGCGGAGTGCGGAGCGCGGAGTGTAGAGCACGCAATGCACACGTCTGCAGTGCTGCGCCTGCCACGCAAAATGACGATGGAAGTCTCCAAAGTGCTGCGCCTGCCACGAAAACTGCAACTCATCTTGTGAAAACGGCGCAAGAGTACTGCGCCTGCCACACAAAACGACTTTCGACACGTTGTCAAACAGGTTGGAATGTCACAAAGTGCCATGCCTGCCACAAAAAAGGATATGACAACCTGCTTGGAAACCTTCGAAAAGGAGAGGTTTGGCAGCTTCCCCCATAGACACGGCGAGGCCACAGGAAAACCAAAGACTCGAGACGAGACACGTTGGAGCATCAAAACAAGCATTTCGTGCGAGACTTCCTCCAATTTTCACACTTTGAAGCTTCAAACTCGACGTTTTCCTACGATTTTTCTTATGAACCTCCAAAATCGATGTTTCGTGCGAAGCGTCCGTCAATTTTCATCACCTCTCACAAAGCGCCACGCCTGCAATGGAATTTGCACCTTGACGCAGCCCTGACAATGCGATTCGCACAAAACACGCAACACGACACGTCTAAAGTGCTGCCCCTGCCACGCAAAATGACGATGGAGGTCTCCAAAGTGCTGCACCTGCCACGAAAACTGGAACTCATCTTCTGAAAACGTCGCAAAAGTATTGCACCTGCCACACAACACAACTTTCGACACACGTCTGAATGTCACGAAGTGCCACACCTGCCACGCGAAACGAAGCAACGCGATATGCGCAACCTCCAAAAGTGACCCCTTTTGCAGAACTTACCATAGGCACGGCCATACAGCCCTCACGCGGACTGTTGCGAACGGTTGCGGACGGTTGCGAACGGTTGCGAACGGTTGCGGACGGTTGCGGTCGTAAACGCAACGTCGAGCGAACACACCCTCAACCCCCAGACCCCCAGACTGAAACGGGAACCCTTGCTACGCATTCGGGAAAAATGGTAGGGATATGTAGAGATGGTGGTTGATGATGTTTCCATCTCATCTCCAAAAAGGGACCATCTTTTCTATCGAGCCTGGCCCCTGATGAGCTGGTTGCCCAGAAAGCGTGGCACTGATAGGCGGCCATGACAAAGGTGAGCTCCGATGTTCACAAAAATGCCATACCTCGAAACAACGGCAGAAATAGCTGCAGATTTTGCCGATCAACAGAGGACCTCTGGTGTGTTGAACATTGTTGAACCTTCAAAATTCAGTGTTCACCTGACTCAGCTCACTCAGGGAAAAGAATTAGCCGCCCCACCATTGCAACTCCGCTGGTGGCGAAATTCTCCGAATGTATCCGAGAGGCTGGTTTTTTGAATCCACAACACCATTGACGTAGTTTCCTTCTTGAAGCTCCTTCCATGTGATGTAGTGCAGTGGAACTGAGCCCTGTTTCATCAATGTTTTTTCGAAGGCGCAGAGCTCGTTGTGTTGATGATACGGGCTGGGTCCTCAAGTGGAACTCGGCTTCCTTGCAGCGCTTCCTCAACGTCCTGACACCAAATTTGTTGCAACCTTGCACTGCAAACACATGGTTTTGCATGGTTTTGCTGTGGTTATATCAGATGATTGTATATAAGAATATGTAATATATATTTCACACACATATATACTATATATATATACATGTATATATATACGTATATGTACGTGTATATATATATACGTTTATATATATATATATATATTGTGTGTGTATATAGTGTGTATATATATACACACACGTATATGTATATGTGTATGTATAATTATGTGTATATATATAATTGTGATTGAAATGAAAATAATACATATAATGTCATATGGGGTCCCATACAATATCATATAATCAGAATGAATAAACACATATCAGGAAAATCCGCCCAAAAAGTCTCATGTTCGAAAGATCAGTCGCACATCGCTCCTGGACCGTGACCGTCGCCCTGCGCGCTTTGAGGTCCACGGAGACAACTTTCATGTCCTGAAGAAACTGCGGCTTTGAGGTTTTGAGGCTAGAAACTGACTGATCTGACTGATCAAAATTTGCTGGGACATATTCAAAGAAATTCAAAGATGCTCACAACCGTCCTAGCAGTCCTAGTTGAAAGAGCATATCCAACTGCACAGTAGAAATCTGTGCTCCTCCAGCACATCGCCACGGCGGAAGCGGCGCCAAAACCTATCCCCGTGTGGCCCGTGTCAAACTCACCATGTCTTGAAAAATCTTGCAGTGCTGTGCACACTTTGCTTTCAGCTCCATTTTTCAAGAATTGTTTACTCAAAAAAAAAGGAATTTGGGACTCACGTGCTCTTTAGATTTCTCCTGTACAATAAGATTGGCCAGAAGTCCTTGATTCTCAATTAGCCTGCATCAGGGCATTTTGACAAGCTGTGTCTGCATTCGATTGCCTTCTTGGAATAGCCAAGATGACATTCTGCTCAAATCCAATGTCTGCAAAGACGCCGTAGTCACCGACATTCACTACGACACCTCGGTCTCGTTTAATTGCTGGAGCAGGGAGACTTCAAAAGTGGGCAAAATGCAAACACCTTAATTTCAACACCGGGCTCTGCAAAGCCCAAAGCTGATTGAATTACAGTATACTGAGATGATAAATTTCTTTGAGGACTTGAAGCAAGTGCTGCCAAGGTGCCATCGACTGAGCTGTCCACTTCCAGTTCGTCGAATTTCTTTCCTCACAGTGCTGAAAACTTAAACCAGCAGTTCCAGCTGATTTTTGTCCACACTTGTCCGTGCCGAGCCAGCCAAGTCGTGTAGAGGACACCAGAGAGTCTCTGGTGCAGCTCTTCATTGTGACAACTCCTTTGAAAAAAAACATTTAGGCCATTCGGGGACTGTCCAAAACTGTACCAAATCCAACCTCCTTCAGGAGCCCTGGCCTTCAGGATGAGACCAATCCTTCTTTTTGGGTGTGGGGCGCTGCCTTAGCTGCTTGCTTTACCCGTTTTCTTGATTTTCTTGTAACGGATTATCATGGACAACCAAGAATCATCCAGAAGAATGACAAACTGGTGAACATTTTATGAACATTTTATGAACAGATTGAATAGATATTGATAGATATTGATAGATGTAAAATGAGATAAATCGGCGGCAACCGATGGATTAAGATTCTCAACAGATCTGAGGATTTCACGGCTTCTGCGACGGCCGACCCGTAGACGCTGCCCGGCGTCGTTCGCGACGGGGCTCCGGGGCAGCCTTTGGGCAAACAGTCTTTCAATGACAAACAAATATCCACAACGATGTCAAGTCTACCTGGAAATTCCCCATGGATTATGGATTATGATGGATGATGTCGGAGCATGCTGCATGACATTTCATCATGTTTCCATCATATCAGGATGACCTTAAAATTCGTGTGATTCGACATCATTGTACATCATTCAAAAAAAAAAGCAGTAACTAGGAACTACATCATTTCACAACTAGCCTAAAATCATCAGGTTTGAAAATTCCATCCATGTTACCCTCTGGTAAACTAACATAACTATGGAAAATCACCATTTTCAATGGGAAAATCAACTATAAATGGCCATTTTCAATAGCTACGTTAAATTACCAGAGGGTATGTTCCAAAATTAGTTCAGTCCCCGATCGCCTGGACGGCCTCACGACCACGGCCCGGAGCTGAGGAGCTCCGGCGCACTGCCGGGCCCTGGCAGCGATGAATCCCCCAATGAGGGGATGGGGGGATGGGGATAACACATGATAACACTATTACTATATTAATACGTATATATTATATATATATACATGTATATGATGTTATATGTAGGGGATTATCATAGCAATTAGAATCGGAAAAAAAAAAACGTTATAAGGGATGGGGAGAACACGAGTTATAGAGACAAATACACACTCCCCATTTCCATAGGATTTCCAATAGAAGGGGATGATCATACCAACTACTGTGGATTCCGAATAATCCCTTTCTTTATAGGCGTATGACCATCCCGTTAAAGATTTGAAAATAAGCCAACTCGATAAACCTGTGGAATTGTCGATGCAATTGTGTAGCCCAGTTATAAGGGGATATAATGGTATGCCATTGTTCGGCCAAGGATCCCAATTTTAGGGTCATCCCAGTCGCAGCTCAATGGGGTTGCTGTAATATGGCCATAGGTCAGTTCACCCAACGGAATCCGTTGAGATTTCGCTTGGGGAGAACAAGTAGAGCTTCTGGTCATTCAAAGACATGTCTCTTCACTTCCCTGCTATACCCATTGGCTTTAATTAGTGATTTTGGTTCAAGATTGACCGAATCGGGTCATGTGTCACAAGGGATCACAAGGGACAAACGCACTTGACACTGCCTCCTCTTCATTGTTCCGTCGGCCCCGGGCCGGCGGCCGCATTTGTTGTCGTGGCCGAGGGCCTGCCACGACAACTTCACACGGCTCACTGTCAACATTTCAAACACGCTAAGTCCAAACCTCGGTCCATGGATTTGCTCACCTTGGCAGCTTTGGAAAGACTTCAAGTTTCATAAAGTCATATGTATATATATAGTCATATTGTTTATTATTTATATATCATTCAATGAAACCTATGTCACAATGTCTCGGATTTGTCTCGTGATATGACCAGTTGAACTGGGCTCGGGACTCAGTTCAACAGCTCCGTGTCGCTGTGCTCGTTGGTCTTGAGCCAAGCTGTGCGGTGAACATCAAAACCGTTGTCTATGTAATCTATGGATGTATGTCCCCATACACATTCTTCATATGTGTATATATGTGTATACATTATGTGTGTATATATATATACAATTAGTATTTACTACTATATAAATATACATATGTACATATGTAATATTAAATAATATTCATATATTACCACAAAATTACCATTGGTTTTCACATGTGTTGAGCCAACTCCAATGAAATTCAATAGGATACAAGTGAGTCCAAGCCCCTTGTGCAGAACAACGGGAGAAATGCGGCCATGGGTTCAAAATGGCTAACTTTGAATTTAACTAAAAGTATTGCAGGTATGTGACAATGTGAAGGTACCCATCAATATACCAATATACTATACTGCTTTCCGCTGGTCTCTTCTTTCTCCGTGTTCTGTTCCAGATCCTTCGACATTTCTGTTCGGGCAGAATTCCTGCAGAATTCCTGCAAAAAGTGTGACACTGTCCAGCCCACTGTCCATCAAGCCAACAGCGAAAGGCAACACCTTGTCATTCTGAACATGGAGCATCAAGGTGCTTGTCCGTATGGGTCCGTGGCTTGCCACGTTCTCCCATGGAAAACCATGTGTTGATCGCCAAGATCAGCTCTTTCATTGACGCTGCATCAACACGGAGATTGCTTTTCATCCGTGGGCGGCAGAGAAACATTCGAGACTTTTAACACGTAGGAAAGAGGAAGCAAACCGAAGCAGTATGAAAAGCTTGCGAAATGAAAGGAAGCTGAATTTGGCTTACTTTCTCAGGTCAAGCTGCCTTTGCACCAAATCTTTGTACACCTCAGAGTGCAAGGACAGCTGTCCTACAATTGCTGTAAAGGGGATGTTGCTGCAATAAGGAGCTGCTGGCTGAAAACTACAGTTCTTAGTGTTTATCATGTTTCATCATGTTTTACTGCACCTACTGTTTTTTTTTCAAGGCGGTTCCATTCAACGAGGATTGCTGTGCTCGCTTTGGCCTGAGTTACGGGCACTTCCCTTGGCCAACAAGTCGTTGTGAGTGCCGGTTTCAACGCATTCCCCAGCACTCAGGACCACCTTGGCAACGCTCAAAGATATCCCAAGATCAACGTATTGTGAGCTTCACGTATTCCAAAAAGAGGAGCAAAAAAAGGTGCGCTTCAGACGCTGAAACTGTCAGCTTCAAAACTTTCAGACCCTTTGAAGAAAACTTCATTTGGGTAATGGCTAGGTCAAACAGAACAATGAAATCAGCAAACCATCCCTGAATTGCCATAAATGGTCGGTAGAACCCATCCCCAAATGGTAGGTTTAGGCCGCCATTTGGGTCTGAAAATAGCCGATCCAAAAAAATCAGATGGGGAATCGGTGAATCATCATTTCACCCAAAAAAAAACTTTATTTGGGGGTATACCCCATTTTTAGACAAAACCGTTTGCAGCTGTGCCACAATCAGATCCGCATCTTTCACCGTCGATAGACGATGTGCTATGACCTTGCAGTTGCCACAGCTGGAAAGCGATGGACAGATGGGATGTGAACAAACCTGAAGCAGCCAGTTGTTTTTCACTGATCCCTCTGTACAATACCATCTCCTGTTTGTGCCTGAGTCGTTGTAGATGACCCCCAGTGTCGTGTTTTGCTATACTGTGCACGACTTCGACTGCATACCGTCTTCACTGAAGTTTGCATGATGCTACGTATGCTACAGTGGACACGAGTTTGAGGGTGTGCTGGGTGGAGGGGAGGTTGGCCTTCGCTTGCACTTACCATTGCCACTCCGGAATGAGAGTGGGTGTTGTAGAAAACGTTTCCCGGCATGTTCTGGAAGACTTGCGCAAACAAGATGCACAGAATGAGAGCTTTAAAACTGGTGTTTGCAGCATGTTATTTTTATTGTTGCTGCTTTCTTCCAAACCACGTCAACTTCGTCTTATCGGCTTCAAAGTTGCAAGGTATCCTTCTCAGTCAGGGAATGGCCCAGGATTAGAAGCATACAGAAGTCCCAGGATCCTGTGCTAATTTGGGGCAAACTGAATACAGAGAGGAGTAGGGGAACTTGAGAAAGCCCTCTGTCTGGAAAAAGAATCGTACCCGTAAGAAATGTAGAGGATTCATGATACTTGAATCGTATTGAATCATATTGAATCATATTGAATCACATTCAAATTAAAAGCCTGTCAAGTTGCTAAGAAGGTCCTTCCTTGTCGTTGCTTCATCAGTTGTTCCAGGGCCTGGGTCTGCAAAATCTGCAAAGGACTCAGTGACTCAGCAATGCAGTGCATTCGCGGTAGATTTTGTGGCGCCTCCTGGACCATGCCCTCAGACTCGGCATCCAAGGCTGACGTTGCCTGGCCACGAACGGCTGTTGGATGCAGGGAGTGCTTGCATGTGCTCGTTTCAGAAGGGTCCTCAGTGTGCAAACACAAATGTATCAAGTGACATCAAGTGACAAGGTCTTCGATGCATGATCCATCCAGATGGGAAAGAGGCACATGACAGAAAAGTCTCAAAACACGTATCAGAAAGGGCTACGTACATGTGAGATCCATGTGGCGCATTGATTTTGCATGGGTGTGGCTGAACGCATCAGCTCCATGCTGGCCACAGCTTCTTGCCTACACTCCGTCTTCAGCTATGTACATCAAGCTCGCAGCTTGAGTACGCATAGACAACTGATGACAACTGTATTGCAGGTTTGTATGGTCTGATCAGTATGATCTCTGGCAGGAACTGAACGTTGCAATCACTCTGCCGGACTCCAAGAGAGGTACCATAAACGATCCTCGGCCAACAGCAAGGTAAAGTTGCCTGTCCATTGCAGCCAACCCCAAAGCATCAGCAGAGATCATGGTTTCGTATGGTTTTGTTGCATTAATGCCTGCCCTTCTGTTCCCAAATGCTATCCAGTCACAACTTGCTTCCTCGAACTGTGAGAGTACGAAGGCAAAGGTGTCATTTGACTTGGCGAATCTGGCATCTTCCTCAGCTTCAGCTGCAGGTCTGTCTGAGTGCGGCAGATTTGTTGGACAGATACGTTACAAGTGGCTAATGAGTCGTTGCCAGGAGTTGGAATTTGACGGATCGCTTCACGAAACTCATCAATAATTTGGGGGCAATCGATCAATTGCACGTAAGACAGATTCACTGTCAGACAGGATCTTCAGATCTTTATGCTTGACGAAACTCTGCATTGCCAAGTGACAAGAATGTCAAGAACTCGCCTCAGAAAGTGGGTCCAAGTTCAAAAACGTTCAAAATAACCCTTCCAAGCTCTAGGTTTCCTCTGCTCCTCTGGGCAATATACTTATTTCAGTCTAGCAGCTTCACAGATGCTTGGCCAATTACCTCCAGCACCCTCAACAGACCCTTGGCAATCAACTTCTGCTTCTGGTCAAAAGGACAAAAAACCTCGGCACTGCTGTTTTGATACAAGGAATTGGTGTGGAGTTGGGACAGGCTAATGACACCAGGGGGGGCCAAAACAGAGAGGTTCTTTCTTTTTGTTCTGGATCAACAAACCAAGACAGCCATGAAGTGATTTCGGAGGTCAATGACCCTGTACATTGGAAAACGACACTGACTTTGCAACTGCAAAGAATATTGCCAGACTGCAAAAAGCATCAAAAAGCCACATCTCAAGTTCCAACAGGTAAGGACCCTTGACTGGCAAGGGCTCGGACCATTGATTGAATGGATGGCTCCATTGAACAGCTGATCCTTACAATGAGACATATGGACATCGGCATTTCTCCACATGACAAGACTCTTCCATGATTTCACTGCAGTAGTGGATTTACCGCAAGGCATGCTTTCAGACAATGATCAATTCATATCAATTCTAGTGACGCAAACTGCAATCAAACTTTTGCCTCCTTGAAAGGTTTTTTTTGAAATGCATACTCGCAAGATCAGAAGGTCAATAGTTTATCAATGTTTATCATGCAACCAACTGATACCAAGAGATACCAAGAGGCCATTGGATCAAGAGTTTCAGCTCCGGCTCCCCTCGAAATGCTCCGCATCCCCACAGGCCGGTGACAAATTTCCGCCTCGCAGACCGAGACTCGTTCAGTGCATCGTCAACACTCACCGACTAAAGAACCTTTGCATTGTAGCATCCCTTAAGATGTTTCGTGAAATGGCTGTCCCATTGTGCTTGATGCTTGATAATCCCTATAGTCCTATAGATACTTGCAGGCTTTGGTTTACACAAACGAGTCTTTTGCACCTACTACCTTTGACTCCAACCAGCCTTGACACAAGTTGCCTTTTACGCAAGCTAGCTTTTACATCAACTAGCCTTTAAACTACAGTGGTTTTCCCGCATGCCCCAGATGCCCCAGCTGCAAGCCACATAGCCGGTGCAGATTTGCCTGAAAGTCTTATCCATCTCAGGCAGCAAGAGCGCGGCCGAGCATTTCCTGGGAGAACAAAATGGAGATTCACAATGGGAACGCCAAAAAGGAAATGAAACGGTTGGGAGAACGGTTGGCACATGTAAGTTTGTATCCGTTTGAGATTGCAACCATGTCTTGTCATGCACAATAATCGCAGGTGGCATGCTGATAGCCTCTTTCTCAATGATGACGCCAACATTGATCGCTGGTTTCCCGTCATAGGTGTTTCTTGCTCTTACTAGGGTACCCTTTGTCATCATAATAACCATTATACCCCTACAGCAATCTTTATTTTAATCTCCATTATGTTCATCATCTTCATTCTCATCATGTCTTTTCTGCGAAATGATATGACGGTGACCATCATCAGCCACAAGATAGTATCACGACATCTCATGACCATGCTAAAGCTCTTAGTCACAAGCAAATCATAGTCTGCGTCTGTGTCTATGTCAGCTTTGGCATAACTGGACGGCAGTGTGACATTGAGTGTAAAGTTCGGAGAAGTTGCAAATATGGCGTGTATGTTTATAGTAGAACTCTTGTTCCAGACACCACACAAATACATATATCATATAACTATATAAATTCAATAAGATCCATCCCAATCAAATGAAACCAGGAAAGTCAACTTGCTTGCATTTACACAATTTATGACTGCCAACTCTTTCATCATAAATCTGTGGTCCATCCCTTTCTTGATTTGCATGTTCTTACTGAGACCGAGTCTCTCTCTCTCTCTCTCAATTCTATTTCTTTTCAGTTGTTTTGCTGTTCTTTTTCCCGAATGCGTAGCAAGGGTTCCCGTTTCACTCTGGGGGTCTGGGGGTTGAGGGTGTGTTCGCTCGACGTTGCCGAACCGTCCGCAACCGTTCGCAACCGTTCGCAACCGTTCGCAACCGTCCGCAGTAGGTCCATATGGCCGTGCCTATGGGAAGTTCTGCAGAGGTGGTCATTTTTGGAGTTTTCAGACGTGTCGTTGCTTCGTTTCGCGTGGCAGGCGTGGCACTTCGTGACATTCAGACGTGTTCTGCAACGTGTCGAAAGTCGTTTTGCGTGGCAGGCGCAATACTTTTGTGACGTTTTCAGAAGATGTGTTGCAGTTTTCGTGGCAGGCGCAGCACTTTGGACGTGTCCATCGTCATTTTTCGTGGCAGGCGCAGCACTTTAGACGTGTCGTGTTGCGTGTTTTTTGCAAATTGCATTGGCAGGGCTGCGTCAAGTGGCGACAAGGTGCAAATTCCGTGGCAGGCGTGGCATTTTGTGCGATGTGCTGAAAATTGACGGAAGCCTCGCACGAAACATCGATTTTGAGGTTGCAAATTTTCAGGTTCTAAGGAAAACTCGTAGGAAAACGTCGATTTTGAAGCTACAAAGTGTGAAAATTGGAGGAAGTCTCGTACGAAATGCTCGTTTTGTTGCTCCCAGGTGTCTCGTCTCGCGTCTCTGGTTTTCCCGTGGCCTCGCCGTGTCTATGGGGGAAGCTGCAAAAATTGTCTTTTTGTCATGATGCCAACTCTGAAAATTGCCGGAAGTCTCGTACGAAATGCTCGTTTTTTTGCACCCACGTGTCTCGTCTCGAGTCGCTGGTTTTCCTGTGGCGTCGCCGTGTCTATGTGGGAAGCCGCAAAACCTCTCCTTTTCGAAGGTTTCCAAGGAAGTTGTCATGTCGTTTTGCGTGGCAGGCGTGGCACTTTGTGACATTCCAACCTGTTTGATAATGTGTCAAAAATGTCAAAAGTGGAGGAAGTCTCGTACGAAATGCTGGTTTTTCTGCATCCACGTGTCTTGTCTCGAGTCGCTGGTTTTTCCTGAATGCTCACACGTATGTTAATGGTACAGATGTCAAAACACATGGCTATGCAGTCACGCACAATACCTTTCTGCAATAGTTTATACTTGAACAGTCTTGTAAATGTTTCCCTAGTTACCAGTCCGCAGTGTGGGGTGGAAAGTGTAGAGTGTGGAGTGTGGAGTGTGAAGTACGGAGTGTGGAGTGTAAAGTGTAGAGTGTGGAGTATGGAGTGTAAAGTGTGGAGTGTTGGCTAGTTTGTCGGCCATGTTGGCGCTTGACGCTTCTGCCTCTGCCGCCGCATTCGAGAAGCTCCCATAGCCGCACCCGAGCTACGCAACCATGGCACCTCTGAGGAAGCAGGCTGAGACAACGCCGATGCAGGAACAGCGGGAGAAGAAGATACTGAGCCCGTCGCTTCATCGGACGGCGGCTCCGCCGTAGGGCGGTGTTTGCCCGGAAGCATATCACGCAGCGTGACGTCAAAGTGACTCTCCGCTGCCGCTAGCGCTTGCAAGCGCTCATTGCTGTCAGTCAGCTTCTTCATGGGGTACAAGGAAGCCACGAGGAACTTGCGTGCATCCGACGCATCCACAAACCAGAGTCGCTTTTGCTTGTTCTGCCTTCTTCCCTGCAGCGTCACGGTGCAGCCGAACTCCGATTGGTAGCGGCGATTCAAGTGCTTTGCCACATACTTTTCATCCTTCGGAGACTCCAAGTGTATGCCGTATTGGATACACTCGGCCCATGGCTCTGAGCTCCTCCCTTTCAAAGCACCGTACTTCCAGTCGGTCAAGACGATTTTTTCCTTTTTCATGTCTAGCCGCACACGGCACCTCGAGGACAGCCGCCTGAGGTTTGGCGCCCCAAACACTACTCAGCATTGCTTTGAGCAACAGAAGCAACGTCAGAGCGTTTTCAATTCACACACTTCCAAACTCAAAAACACAAAATGCCACGCCTGCCACGGAATTGTGTGAAGTGTGAAGTGTAAAGTGTGAAGTGTGGAGTGTAGAGTGTGGCATTTTCTGACATGTGCTGAAAATTGACGGAAGTCTCACACGAAATATTGATTTTGCGGTTGCAAATTTTCAGGTTCTAAGGAAAACTCGTAGGAAAACGTCGATTTTGAAGCTGCAAAGTGTCAAAATTGGAGGAAGTCTCGTACAAAATGCTCGTTTTGGTGCTCCCACGTGTCTCGTCTCGAGTCGCTGGTTTTCCTGTGGCGTCGCCGTGTCTATGTGGGAAGCCGCAAAACCTCTCCTTTTCGAAGGTTTCCAAGGAAGTTGTCATGTCGTTTTGCGTGGCAGGCGTGGCACTTTGTGACATTTCAACCTGTTTGATAACATGTGGAAAACGTGAAAATTGGAGGAAGTCTCGTACGAAATGCTCGTTTTTCTGCACTCACGTGTCTTGTCTCCAGTCTCTGGTTTTCCTGTGGCATCGCCGTGTCTATGGGGGGAGCTGGAAAACATCTCCTTTTCCAACGTTTCCAAGCAGCTTCTCTCATGTCGTTTTGCGTGGCAGGCGTGACACTTTGTGACATTCCAACTGTTTGCATAACGTGTCGGACATGTCAAAACTTGAGGAAGTCTCGCACTACATTCTTCACTTTGCACTCCACGCTCCACGCTCCACACTCTACACTCCACACTCCTCACTTTAGACTCAACGCTCTGTACACTTTACACTCCTCACTCCACACTTCACCTGCCACACTCCACACTCCTCACTTGGGTACTGGAGGTTTGGCTCTTTGTTGACTGATGTTTCCGAGTTCCGAGTTGTTATTGTGTGTTACTGTGGTGCGAGTTGCTATGTTTTATTCACTTTGCTTTGTCCGAGTTCGGCCATACTCAGCTTCATGTGCAAGATTTGGATCAGCACAAACAGTTTGTGACAGAACAGATGCAGCAAGATTTGGATCAGCACAAACAGTTCGTGACAGAACAGATGCAGATGTCTGAACATCTGTTTCCAGTCTTATGTTTGTTAGACTGTATGCATGTCAGATTTCGGCAATACTCAGCTTCATGTGCAGGATGTGGATCAGCACAAACAGTTCGTGACAGAACAGATGCAGATGTGTGAACACCTGTTTCCAGCCTTTTGATTTTGACGCTTTATGCAGGTTGCAGTGATGTTTATTCGATTGTTGGCTGTGCGGCAGTTTGTTTTCATTGGTGTTCATAGGGATGATGTGTCCATTGTATGCAGAAATTGAAGCATACCATTTGCAGCATAGTTGTGGGTATGTGAATGAAGGACGAGTGTGTCTGTGTCTGTTTCTTTGTTAAGATGGCGGGTCGCCGGCCTGCGCTGCGATGGCGTAAGCTTGCGCGCCAGCACTGCTTGCGAGGGCGCGCCACGCGGTACGTTGCTGCCGCGACGCTCTGGCTTGTCGCGGCTTGCGGCTGCTGCTTGGCGACGCTGCTGCCGCTGACTACGCTGCTTGGTGTTCTTGCTGCGGTGCTGCTGCCGAGCTTCCTGCGCTGTGTGCAGCTGAGACATGTCAATGGTTTGCTGCGGCAAGAGGCGTTGCTACTGGAGTTTGTGCAACGCGTGCCATACTGCTGTGTGGGCATCGAAAACCGTGCGGACAGTGCAGTGCCTTGGCTTCGCGTAAGACGCGATGGATGTGCATGTGGATTCAATTGGTTCGAATTTTGGAATCGCAGCAGTCTCTACGAGTTATCTTTGTTTTCCTTCTGAGTTGTGTCCCAGACATGCATGCCCATGTAATTACCATGTGCAAGTGGGAGACTACGTACGCATGATTTTGCTGTTTCTGTTGCATTGTTTGTTTTGCCTCTGCACATCTGAGGTGTTATATGGGCTGGTAGTTCTGTTTGCGCGAATGTTGGGATTGCATGCAGAGAGTGCCTGGACGTGTCGAAGCTACACGTTCATGTTGCTTGAGAATATCATTTTCAGAGGAATATTTTCTGATACGCCTTGGAACCGGCGGTGGCCTGCGTGGTTCGTACTCTTGTGGCTGTCGTACCAGTATCCATTGTTTCCTCCCAAAAAAAAGTCCGATGCAGAGAAAGCGGAGCTTGCCCGTGCTGAGCTCGAGCATTTTATGGCATCACACGGGCAGGTACCATCACAGCTTTCGGATCTCCCAGGGAGTAAATCTTTGTATCAGAAACTCAAGAAATTGAAACTCTTGCACCTGTTGAAGCATGATTGGCGCCGAGACGTTTGCGATGATACTTTGAAGTTTTTTGAT